TCACATCTAGGACCCGGGTTGACATTAAAACCCAAATCCGCTATACTACGCTTTAAGAAGTGGTTTCACTTGGCCATTTTCTAGAGTGACAGTAGGAGTGAGTCAAGGCACGACACGACCCACTTATCTACCGTGTCGTGCCCGTGCTCGTGTCCGTGCCCATGAAGTATAGGCCTGACATGGCCCATAAATTATTCATGCTCGTAAAGGGCTAACCAATTTATTTCGTGCTCGTGTCGTGTTCTAATCGTGTCGTGCTAGCCCGTGGGCGGCACGACCTGGTGCCCACGTACAGTGGTATGCAACTGAACAAATAGATCCTGGTGAGTACTTTAAGAAATACGCAGTACTCGGTGATGATATTGTCATTGCAGATGCTAGGATTGCGGGGGTCTATGCAACTTGTAACTCTTGAAATAAGTAAACCAAGGAAGGTCGTCTGATACTGCTACATCTTCAATAGCCATACAAGCCGGTTGGTCCAGTTGTTCAACTGTAATTGTATGAAAATCATCTCCATCTGGAATCTCAAACATCGAGGGCGCCATCGCATCCGCAAATTCATTATCTTCCGAATCTGAATCTGAAGGAAGGAAGAGCAAATCAATTACGTTAGTTAAAGAAAGAAGTAAACTGACTTGACTGATGAACACTAACTGATCTACTAGGAGCAAAGAGCTCACCTAATTTATAGAATTCACTCCCTCAATGTAAGTCCAGTCAGTCAGTAGCAGTAGAATAGTCCGATTGCACACCCCCATAATAGCTCTAGAATTGTAAATCGCGGCGAACCGGATTTTGCCATTTTCAAGTTTCGGCTTTAGAGACTTACTTTTTTGCGTCATCCTCCTCCGAAGCTCCCACAAGGGCGGGCGTTAAAACACCCTGTGCTATGAATAATGTTTCGTAGGTGGGGGGTGGGGGGGTCGCTCTTCAACGTAATTACGGATAAGCCTGCGCACTGTTGCCACGTCATTGTCGCCGCCCAGTATTCCAAAGCGTATCACTTCGCGGATGTCATTTGTTATCCATTCCCCGAAATTCAACCTGTTTAAAATGGCATAAGGCCTGGCTAAAAATATCCTTTTTGAAAAGCTCAATATCTCTGGTGAGATGTTGTTTTATTTCTGGCTCATGAGCAAATCTCTGTTCTAATTCTGTCAATCTGTGTTCATACTTGGAACTCGATGAGACAAAGGATCATGTTCAATCAATGGTGTTTGAACTTTATTTTGCTGAGGGGTAACCCAAGGGAGAAACATGAGAAACTTATGGAGATGGAGAATATTGAGAATATCAGCATCACCTCCACTCCATGTGGATGTAAGGAATCATTCGAGTATATGAAGAGAAGGAGGATCTTGTTCGTTGCACGATCAATTGTCTCCTAGATGACCATTATAAAGAGAAAGGCTTTGTGGATATTGGTTCTAGTATCAACATCCTATCACTTCCACTTCTATAAAGATATGAGTCTTGCTGACATGGAGGAGATAGAAATGTAGATCAATATGGCAAACAACAATTTGTGTCAACCTCTTGGAATAGTTCGAGGACTACGAACCCAAATAGGGTCATGCATCTTCTTTCAAGATTACGTGATGATCAAGATGGAGATAGAGATCCCATGTTCATTGATCTTTGGTAGACCATTATTGGGCACTTCAGTGCCATGATCAATCCATTCGATAAGTGGGGTCCATTGAAGACACAGAGGAAATGCAACCTATCGATGATGATGATTTCAAGAAGAATGAAAAAAACGGAGCCAAAGATAGAGATCAAGTTCCGAACGAGATGTATATATGAGGATTCCTTACATGCAACATATCATCATTATGATGAAGAGCGAGAATGGGGAGAAAAGTTGAAAGAAGCTCTACCAACTTTGGAATTGAAGCTAGCTCAAATGACATAAAATGAGAAAGCTACAGACGTTAATCGAGTTTCGGATTAAACTCGCCCGTGAAACTCGCACCCAAAATGGACTACAACTATTTAAACCTAGACCCTAACTCACTGGTTGTCGCTACACGTTCACCCCATCCATATATATAAATCACCAAACCTAATCCTATGAATGTATGAGAGCAGGTAGCTCCCTTTCTTTTTCCTAATACCAGTGGACAATCATAACCACCACCACCTCTCAGGTTCCATCTTGACCTCGCAACACCATCGTGCAAGGCGGCAGTTAGGCACTCCTTCCCCAGCAAAGCAAGCAGTAGCCGCTCTTGGCAAAAGGGATGATCGGGCGGCGGAACAATGCACACCTCTACTAGGAGAACTTCTTGCTTAAGCAAGCTCGTCAACTGCCATCTCCGCCTGCATACCTGATGTGCTGCGGCGGCCACTAAGGTCTCCCCTGTACTGCGAGAGCTGCTTGTCAACTGCCATCTCCGCCTGCATACGAGCGAGGGGAGGGGATTCAGCATGAGATGTGCGGCTGCGGCCACTAAGTTCTCCCCGATGTTTATGAGAGCTCGTCAACCGCCATCTCCTCTCTACTAGGAGAGCTGTTTGCTTAAGCAAGCTTGTCAACTGCAATCTCCGCCTGCATACGAGTGGGGGAGGCGATTCAGCATGAGATGTGCGGCAGCGGCTACTAAGTTCTCCCCGGCGGTCTCCCCTAAGCAAGCTCGGCAACTGCCATCTCCGCCTACATTGTATGGGTGAGTGAGGGGAAGCAGGCATGAGCTGGCGAATTGAGAGCATCATCGGGAAAAGGGGACGAGGGGAAGCAGGCATGAGCTGGCGGATTGGGACCATCATTGGGCTGCCTTTTCCCTCTACTACGAGAAGCAAGCTCGGCTTGTCGTTACTGCCATCTCCACCCTGGCTTGGATGGATGAACCGTGGACGTTCCAAATACTTCCACACCCGAGAGCTGCCTACTTAATGCTTAGTCATACAAGATTGCATGGAGGGCGGACAGGACCAATTCCTCCCCGTAACAGCAAGCTTCCATTTAATTCCATTTGTGCAGCTTGCTTCACAATAATGATCAAAGCAAGCGGGTTCATTTAATTCCATTTGTGCCAAGCAAGCTGCTCCATTTTATTCAAGCAAGTATGAGTGTACTAAGGATAATATTTTGGAAGCGAGTATGGAAACTTTGGAGCAAAATCAGAACCAGTTCTGACGGAAGTAAGGTGAGTGTAAATGGGGTAAATTCTACGCCTTACGGTTTTTCAAATATTTGTCTTGCGTATTTTAAGGAAAGCCTTGATGGCTTCTCATACGTATGAGTTGGCAACCGAACTAGCTAGTGAGGGATCCCTGTAAAACAAAATTATGGAAGAGACCCAAAATATAAAACTGCAATGAACATATAATCACTTAACAACGAAAACCAAAGATGAATGGTTGTTTTATAATTTCTCTTCAAATTGGAAAGTTGGGATTGATAAAAAAATGAGTCGCACCGATTTACTTGAAGTAGTCAATGCTACTTGCTGCTTCTTTATCAATCCTTCGCACCGGTGACCAAGATTTAGGAATTATGAAAGAAGAGGAGAAGCTTTGCAGGGACGGTGGAAAGAAGACTGGTGAAGTTTTAGGGGTTTTCTAGTTGAAGGATTGCGATTTGATACGGAAGCACAAATCTTTTAAGAGCAAAATCAGGGATTAATTCTTTAACTATTTTCCTTTTTAAATATATCATTATAAGAGACAATGAATTCCCTTTCATTTCAACCAATAAAAAATGAATTCCCTTTCATGCCAATCCATTGGTTTCAAATGGTTTTATTACTTCTCTACAAAAATTAATAATATTTTTCGTATAACTATGAACTAACATTATTTCTTACTTGTATTTATCTTTAATATATATATATATATATATATATATGGTGGCTACTTCGGTGCACTCACTTTTTTGGGTGCACTCTGTGCACCCATCTTTAAAAGTGTCCATAATACATCAAATTTTGAACTTTAATTAGTACTCTCAATCTAATATGATGATATGACATAGAATCATAACAAATCAATCTATTACCCTAACCCCTTAACCTTCAATTTAGAATCCCAATGCAAAATCCCAAACTGTAAACCTAAACCCTAACCCTAAACTTTAAATCCTAAATCCTTCAAATTAAAGTAAATCGTAAATGATTTTTTTTTTCAAATTCACGTGCTTCTTATTCATAATATCATAAACAACAATTGATAACGTTTTGACATGAATCGCATGCTCAGAATGATGATTATGAGACGGGTGCACTGAGTGCACCCAAAAAAGTGGGTGCGTCGAATACGCCACCATATATATATATATATATATATATATATATATATATATATATATATATGGTGACTTCTATCGTACCCCAGGTAAAATCCGGGGTATGCCGTACCTTGGGTGATCTTGACCGTACTTATGATCTCGACGGATGAGATTAAATTTTATTAAATAATTTATTTTTTCGTAATTTATATTAAATAAAATTACAGAAAGACTTACAATTCGTTTTTCTTTAATTTTAGTCCATTGTAAACCAAATCGGGTTGGTTCTGTTTAGTTTTTGAATTGACCCAAAATCCAACCACCCTAAGAGAAAGGACACCTACCTTGCCCCACTCGCAGCCCTACCCCTCTCCTCCAAATCCCGACCTTGGACCTTCTCTCTTCTCCATTTTTCTGTTTGAATTGGGAATAACCCTGTTCTTCCTCCCTACTCCTGTAAATCATCCCAGCCGTCTCACAAAATGGCAGCGATAATTGAACCACTTTGTTTCCCCCTCTTATTCTTCTTCGTTTTCCCGTTATCGACTGTCATATTCCCCCCTGTCCTATGATTCCTCACCATCCATTGTTTAAACCCTAAACTGGCCGAATATTGCAGGTAATCTCGGCGTCAAGCTGTGCAAGCATAAGCACCCCATCTCTTTGAATGAAAACTAACTGTTGCTTGTAATCCTTCTTATAACTTGTTAGTTCTTATAACTCATATTTATGTGTATTTCACTTCTGCAAACTGGCTTGGCAGGCGGAGATGATTGCACTCGAGAAGGCAATGAAAGATGCCATGGTTCCTGCATGTACTGCTAGGGAGGTGAGAAAGGGATTTTAAATTGAAATTGCCGAAATTGATTTTCGAACTACAATGCTGTGATTTTGGATGGATCTCTGATATGGATGAGGTGTATTATAGACTGATTTCGGAAGAGAGGTCCCGTTGTTTGAAGTGGAGGTTACAGCTTTGGAGTCTGTATTTCAAAAATTCTATTCCTACATTTTTTACACTGAAACCGTGGGGTTCGAACTTAACACAGACCCCGACAGGCCTAGTCCTGCTTCTACCTTCGTGGTTAAATTTGACAAGGTATGGGTTTTGAAGATTTGTGGTGACGATTTTATGCTTTGATGATAAATCAAGTCAATGTGTATCGGAATTAGGTGCTTAAGATGTCCATTTTCAGGATCATGTGTGTTTTTGGTCCATTCTTTCAGTAGTCTTTGACATGATCTGTTGATGAGCTTGCTTGGTGGTTTTCTTTTTACAGGTCAGAATGGATCCGAGGAACAAGGAAGTCTATCTTGATAGTTTCATGTTTAGCACAATTGATAAGTTGTCCGAAGAAGAGATAAAGAAAGAAGACTCAAGTTTGGTTGAGCTCAGACAAATATTATTTGAATGGATGGTATGTGACCTCTTTCATTTTAGTCACCACGAGAAATGACTAAGTTCCTAATTCAATTCTTATCCACATTCTTCACTAGTGATGCTTTTAATCATGTTTCGGATTCTTCTTTCTTGTTTGAAAAATGGTTTAAGGGTCCACTTGATTGGGCTAGTTGTTGGACGATCCTCTAGCAAATTTGGACGGGTTACTTCGTGAAGACGTGATGAGAATAAGTTTCCCGATGCAAGTACAACAAAGCAGCTAATCTGGCCAGTTTATCTCTATTAGTTTTGATGCGAATCTCAAAGGTTGTTTCTGTTGCTGCTATTTTGGCTATCTGTCTGCAATGTGAGATTACTGTAGCGCTATTTCTGCCTCTCGGCTGGTTCCATTTCTGTTTAGCAAACTAGCCTCTGGCTGTGTACTTGTGTTTATTCGGCTGATTTGCTAGCCTCCCTCTAATAAATAAAAAAGCACACCAAAACTTGCAAACTATCCGGCAAATAATAAACGTGTCCCTAAATCGTTACCATAAAGAAGGCATTCGTTGGAAAGGAAGAAACAAAACTAAATGCTAAAATGCAGAACATGCTATGCGACTAGATATCCTTCAGCCTTGAATTCGCCTCTTTTGGGAAGCTGCTTTCCTGAATTCGCCTCATCTGAGAAGCTGCTTTCCTCTCTTGGGAAGATACTTTGTACTCAAGTGTCTGAGCTTCAAACCTAGGTGCATTCTTATTTGCTTTCTTGAGCACCTTGTGTCTTATGTAATTGGTAGGCTCTTTGACGAGGTACAATGCCACCTGCATTCTTCTCAAATGATTGCATGGCTGTAAGGACAGAAAATATAAGATATTAATACAATATGTTGACATAGTTTTTTTAATGTGCTAGTAGAAATAAATGGGCCTACGTAGTAGGTGATTTCTTACCCAAATATAATAGTGATCATCCCATGTTGATCCCACACTACAACAATTTTGGGATGTCCTGACGAAATTTTAGTTTGTTATTTTGGGTTTGTCACAATAGAACCTATAATATGACAGAACTAAATTTTGTCATATTAGTTGTGTTTTTTTTTTGACAAGAAATATTTTGTCGTAATAATTGGTCATATTAGACCCATATTGTGACGAAGTTATATGATGTCATAATATTTTGTCATATTACATATTTATTATGACAAATAGTGTATGTCATTATAAGTTTGTCACAATATTGTTCTCGTACTTTATATTAAGTAACATAATTTTGGTAATGTGACAAAGTTTGATTAGTCAAAACAGGGGTGCTTTTATTCTTTTCCATTTTATGTTCAGATAATGAAAGTGAGAGAGAGAGAGGAAATAGGGCGCGGGAACTAATTCCCTCCAGAGCTCCAAAACCATATCCACTCTCAAAATTTGCCCCAAAAATTGAAATCCGCCGCTCAAAAAACCCTCTGTCAATTGAAACCAGTCTGTCTTCGCAATCGCATCGAATCCTCCCCGCAGCAGCGAGCAAGCGCATTGCTTCATAATCGAGTAAGATGACTGTACTCTCTTCGATCACCCTCTTCCACTTCTGTCGCATCGTTTTCAGCCGATTGAGAGAAGCTTTCATTGGGGATTTTTTGGTGGAGTTTAGGTGTCTGTCGATTGTAAGACGATTTTGTTGGGGATTTGGTTGATTTTGATAAATGGAATCCCTACATGTGGTCTTGCATGCGTAACTCAGAGATTGGAAATTTAGTTTCTGGATTCAATTGCAACCTAAGGGTTTTTCGGGGTTTATCGTTTCCTTAAGACGATTATACTGATCTAACAAGACTATTCTATGAGTTATCAGTAGTTCTTTGATTTCTGTAAGCTGCGTAGGGATGCTGAGTTATCTGGTTTGTGTTTTGTGGACGTTGTTGTAAACTTTCGGTTTCTACTTTGTGGATCTTTTTGTTATGGTTCTGGTGTGTTTGGTTCTGTTCACTGCGGCTGATGCTTTCTCCTGGCTTTTCAATGCTTACACAGCCATAGGAGATTGACCGGTCACAAGTGAGGACATCGAGGCTATCACCGCGGCTTTTACCACGGCGATCACGACCTTGACCACGCAAATGACGAATTTGCCGCCATTGGTGAACAACAATCAAAACATGAGGGACAGAGGCAGGAGAATCGACAGGGAAGAGCGTCCTCGGAGGGCGTGTGCGGTTCATGCTGATTCTGATTCTCATTCGGAGGAAGAGGTCCAAGACGAGGACCAGGACCATGATGATAACCGACAAAATCGTAATGATTATCGAGTCAAAGAGGACCTCCCATTGTTTTATGGGACCATGGGCGTCGAGGACTTTCTTGATTGGCAAATTGACGTTGACAGATTCTTTGGCGTGATGGAGGTGCCCGAGAATAAGCAGGTTAAGATGGTAGCAATCCGTTTGAGGAGTACTGCGGCAGTATGGTTGGACAAGCTGGTCGTCCAGCGACAACGTCAGAGGAAAGCACCAATCCGGACATGGCGGAGAATGAAACAACTAAAGATGGAGCAGTTCTTACCAGAGGATTACAAACAAATTTTATACAAGATGTACATTGATTGCATTCAAGGTCGGAAGAGTGTTACTGAGTACACAACAGAGTTTCTACGTTTTGCGGAACGCAACGAACTGGGAGAATCAGAAGCACAGAAGGTCGCCCGCTACATCAGTGGTTTGAGAGGATCAATCCAAGAGAAGATTGGATTGCAACTGTTTGGACGGTGACCGAAGCGTCTTCCCTCGCACTGAAGGCCGAATTGATGGAAAAATCGCCCCAAAATTTTCCTCCTTTCCGCAGAGCCCCTCCTCCGGGTAGTCCAGAGTTACAATTTGACAAGGACAAGAGTATGAATTCCAAAGACACTATTGCCAACTCAAATAGCAATATTGGAATAGGTACTTCAAATGCGAACAAAAATAAAGGACCGACTATGTGGCCCACCAACCCCTATGCAAAGCCAGGAGGGGATAAGTGTTACCGTTGTGGGGGTCAAGGCCACAGATCAAACGTGTGTCCTTCTCGCCGAACGATCGCAGTAGTGGAGGAGATGGCCACTTTCATGAAAGAGCATGAGGATACTGAGGATGTTGATGAGTATGCAGGAGTGGAATTCGCTGAAGAAGAATCAGAGGAAGCCGTGAATATTATCTTACGCAGGGTTTTATTGGCATCATCAGATGAAGGGCAGCGTAAAAATCTTTTCATGACCCATTGCTTTATTAATAACAAGGTTTGCAACCTTATAGTCGATAACGGGAGCACGGAGAATTTAGTGTCTCAAAAACTAGTTGCATACCTGGAATTACCAAAGGAACCCCATCCGAAACCATATGCTCTTGGCTGGGTGAGCAAAGGTCCACAGGTCAAGGTAACTCATACTTGCAAAGTCCCCATTTCAATAGGAAAGTACTACCGGGAAGAAGTGGTATGTGATGTGATGAACATGGATGTCTGCCATGTACTTCTGGGGCGTCCTTGGTAATTCAACAATGATATCACCTATAGGGGCAAAGATAATGTGATGATGTTCACATGGAGAACACACAGGATAGCTATGGCGCCAATTGCGGGGTTCGACAAACAGCCCGATAAGGCAAAGTCGAGTTTCCTCTCGATATCACGGGATGAGCTCGAGTTACAGGAGGACATCCGTGAAGCTGATTGGGTTTGCCCGGTTGTCGTTAAAGGGATGTTGAGCGCGACATCGACCGGGGTTTCTACTATCCCACAGGTCGTGCAGGAGATCTTGAAGAATTTTGGACAACTCATATCCGATGATCTGCCCGACGAGTTACCACCAATGCGCGACATCCAGCATCAAATCGATCTAATCCCGGGATCTAGCTTACTGAACTTACCGCATTACCGCATGAGTCTGAAGGAGAATGAAATATTACGGGAACAAATAGAGGACCTCTTGAAAAAAGGGTTCGTTCGGGAAAGCATGAGCCCATGCGTTGTGCCGGTAATCTTGGTACCAAAGAAAGGGAACCAATGACGGATGTGTTTAGACAGCCGCGCCATTAACAAGATAACGATCAAGTACAGGTTCCCCATTCCTCGACTGGAGGATATGCTCGATGAGTTGTCCGGATCTCAAGTGTTTTCAAAAATTGATCTTCGCAGTGGCTATCGCTAGATTCGGATCCGTCCTGGAGATGCGTGGAAGACTGCCTTCAAGAGCAAGGATGGTGACACGCTATGACACAACACCTAACAATGGCCAAGTGTAACCAATGAAAGGGACTGCAGTATAGTGGCACAAGTAATAAATATCGAATCCACGGGTCTCTAGAGTTACTATTACTCAGCTTCAGTTTATTATCTAGCAAACTAGATTAAGGATTGATTTAGAAACTACTCTACTAACTACTCTACTAATTACAAGTTGGGAACTCACTTAGGTATGATTCCCCCTATCTCCTCAATTAGGTCCAATTTGCAATTACCTTTGGTTGATCTACTGTTGATAAAACTGCGGAAGATCCGACAGTAGCTTGGAATCTCTTAAACTGACCAAGCCCTCTCAGTCCAACAACCCGGCAGGCGACTAACCTTCACAGGGATAGAAAGCTGAGGATATGAACACAGAACTCCACTACCAGAATTGGATTCCAGTACAAAGCAGTAGATTGACTAACTCTCGTATAACCAATTCACCACCATCAATCAAGGAAGCTCTATTAACCTAATCAGATTCTATTTATCATAGGTTAAAGCAAAAATCAAGAGAATTTGATCAAGATTCAATTGACTCAATAAATCATGCCTCAATCGATTATAATCAAACAATATAGCATCCAAAACTTCATACAAGAAAGATCCTAACACATGGAACTAGGGTTCCTCAAAACCTAAGTGAAGGGAAGTTACTCCATAGAGAAGAGAGAGACTGCAGAAATCTGATCTAGATCTTCAATCTCCATCTCCAAGCTTGATTCCCGAGCTCCAATGGCGAAGAAATCCTCCAAAATAGCTCCAAGAATGTTCCCAAGTCGCTCTCTCGCTCTAGGGTTCGTCCCTTGGGTGTTTGGGAACCAA